CTTCAGGTTGATGTCGGAACCCCTTTCTACCTTTCTTAGTAGGAAGGTAGAACTAAAACACATTCTAAGAGTTAATTGGGCAAACTAGTTTTAAAAGGCCTTGAACCTGTGTGTCTTGTGACTTTTGGTGCCTTCCTTTTGTGCACTAAGTCTGAGATGTAGATGGTGTGCAGAATTTGGATAAGAGAAAAATAAACAACCTGAAAACCAAAAAAACCAAAAGTCCCATCCATCTCTCAGTCCCTGCCCAGAACTTTTTATGGTTCTCCCCATCAGGGAATCCACAAGGGAGGTTTCCACAGCTGTAAATTCACAAGCCTTTTTTTGCCCTGCTCTTGTTTTAATGGCGAAAACCCAGATACTCAGGAGCTGTTGCTGCAAAATGCTCTTCAGGATTTCATCTCTTGGATTATTATATCAATATTGGATTATTAAGGGATTACCAGCTGGAATTCATGGGAGCAGAAGCAGAAAGCCAAAGGAAATAATTTGCCTGTGTTTACTCTCTTAAACCTTGTCAGAAGGTTCTGTTAAATACAGAATTTATGGTTTGTGATGCAGAACTAACATTTGATGCAGATTTATCTGAACTGCTGCTGAGCAGAACAGTCCAAGTGGTAGGACTTGAAATTTAGGAGAGATGCCATTAAGGCTGGTGATTACAAAAGTTTTGTTATTTTCTTAGCTCCACATGGATCCATGATGGGACCTGAACAGCCTTTCCTGGGGTCCCTGTATTCCCCTGCAGAGGCTCTGGACCCGTCAGCCTTCATGGGCCTCGAGTCAGGCACAGAATTCCTGCCAGGAAAAGCAGGTGAGAAGCAAAAGTTTCCTCTGACTGGCTGGGTTTGGAGGGTTTGCAGCTGGGAAATGCCACTTTATGAGTCCTAAAGAATCTTGGTGGGGAGTTGATACAAAAAAATGAGTCAAGATTGGAAAGTTTCCTCTTGGCATGGACAGCTGTTGGTTCAGGGGAGTGTTCTGGTGTGAACCTAACCCTAACCCCTAGCCCCAAACCCTAACCCTGGCCCAGCCAGAGCAGCTGGGGCTGCCCCTGATCCCTGGCAGTGCCCAGGGCCAGGCTGGAGGAGGCTGGGAGCACCCTGGGACAGTGGAAGGTGTCCCTGCCCATGAAATGAGCTTTAAGGTCCCTTCCAGCCCAAACCATGCTGGGATTCTACATTAGGAGGTCACAGAATTATTGAGGTTGGAACTTTTCCAACCTCCCTGCTTAGGCAGGGCTACCCAGAGCCACTTGCCCAGGAGAACTGAGGAAAGAAACTCTTCTTCTGGCTGCTGGGGTCAGTGCTGAGTGTAACTCTTGTCTGATGGGAGCTCTCACTCCCAGTAATCCTGGGAGAACAGAGGTTCTGCTGCCTCCTGTAGAGGGAATTGGAATTCCCTGGGGATGAACCCCAAAGCCAGCAGAGTCAAACCTTCCCCTGGGAAATCAAAGCCCTGTGGGGTCAGGGCTGGGCTCAGTGTGTTTGTTTCCCACAGCCCCTGAAGAATACTGGATGGGAGCTCAGCAGGACATGAAGGGACCAGATACCTCTTACTTTGTTGAGCCACCAGGTAAAAACCAGTTGTGAGCTGATCTGCAGGAGGAGTTGGCAGAGAGCTCCTGAGCAGCAGAACCAGCTCCTCTCCTTGTCTGCCTCCTCAAGGGACACCAGGCTGGGACAGAGCCACGTGGGGGCTGGCCAAGGACAGCACTGCTTCTGCTGCTCACATCAGTTTGGAATGGAAATGAGTCTTTGGGGAGTGGGAATGGCTTTAAACTGAAAGAGAATGGGGTTAGATGGGATATTGGGAAGGAATTCCTGGCTGGAGGGTGGGCAGGCCCTGGCACAGGTGCCCAGAGCAGCTGTGGCTGCCCCTGGATCCCTGGCAGTGCCCAAGGCCAGGCTGGACAGGGCTGGGAGCACCTGGGACAGTGGAGATGTCCCTGGGACAGTGGAGGTGTCCCTGCCATGGCAGGGGTGGCACTGGATGATCCTGAAGATCCCTTCCCACCCAAACCTTCCTGGGATTTTACAATTACCTTTAAATTCTGGTCACAGTTAAATCTTTGAAGCTCCACTGGAGCATTATCCCATTGGGAATTGGTGTGTATTACAAAACTTGACCCATAACGGGATCTTTATTTCTGTGAAGAAGCTGAGAACAGTTTCACCCTGGTGATGGGTAGGAAGTGTTTCTGGAGCTGGGGGTGGCACTGGGAGGGTTTGTAGCACAAGCCTCCCCAACTTTGCCACTTCTGAGGTTCAAGAGTTTTCCTGGGTGCTGCACAAATTATTTTGAGAGTGGGCAATCAGAGCTGAGGGGGATTCACCTGGGGGTGCCCCCCATGCCAGCCCTCCACGATCCGAAGCCTCTCCAGGAGCTGATGCCAGCTGCTTGTGTTGGCAGTGCCCCCTGCAGCCGCAGAAGCCATAAGGACGAGCCTGCCCGAGAGCCCCACGGCAGCAGCAGCCCCGGGGAGCCTTCCTGCTGCAGCCCCCGAGGGAGCCAAGGCTGCAGCTCCAGGTGAGCCCTGCACCCTGCAGGGGCAGAACATGGGACTGCCTCTCCCAGGGGAAGCACAGCGAGGTGGGAACAGAGCTGTGTGCCTGCAGGTGAGGGAGGAGCAGCAAACCTGCTGCTTGTGTTCCAGTCCAGGAGCTGATTGCTTGGCTGTTTGCTGTCTCCACAATTTAGCTCCAGGAAAATCCCAAGGCTGTGGTTACAGCACAGAGGGAGGGAATGGTTCAGGGAGAAAAGCCCTCTGAGGTCACTGGGTCCAGCCCTTCCCCAGCACTGACCCACGGCCCCAACTGCCACATCTATCCACAAGGACCTTGAGCCTGTGCTTTTAAAAGATTCTCTTTTAAAAAAAACCCATTTTTAATGTATTTATACACAGACTCACAGTGCCAATTGTCCAGTTTCCTAATACCTCATCCCACCAATTTCCCTAATTCTCCAGGAATCATCCATACTGCTTTTAATATCTATCTATTTACAGTCTTATTCATGTGTAAAATCACAATTTTTACATTTCCTTTTGGAGAAGATCATGATATCACTTAAAAAACCCACAACAAAGTCAAACCCCAATGAGGGCTGGTGCATGATGGATCCTCTTGCTTTGGTTCACTAAAATACTTGTTTTATCTAAATGGATCCTTTAGTACCATTTTACAAGGGGCTTTTTTGGTTTTTCTATTTCTTTCTGACTTCAGTTTAAGCATCTAAATTAGATTTCATACATTTTCCACTGGCTGGGGAGGATATTTTTAGATGTGACTCAAAAAATCAGTAGAAATGTTGTTTTTTGGTCGTCAGCAATAGATGGGAGATGTTCAGGGCACTGAGCTGCAGGACACAGAGGGTGGGCAGAGCTTGGGGCTGTCGAGATGAGGAGCTGCAGAGCAGAGATCCACTGCTTCTGGCTCTGATCATTTGGAAAAGCTTGCCTCTGGAGAGCTGAAACATGAAACAAAAACTGACTGAAAAACCTCCTTCAGGGGGATTTTAGGCAAATAGGAGCTTTAATGCAGAGCTTTGATTGTGCTGTGAAGTGACAAATGTTGGTTTGGAGCTACCAGCTCAGTGTTAGGAGATACTGTGTGAAAAATGAACGAGGCCAATTTGAGGGAATAGAGGGAATTTGGGATTCGTGGGAGGATTTTGTGTCAGGAGTGCCAGAGCTCCTGCTGGAGCACCAACCAAGCCCCACCACCAGCACAAACCATGCTTACAATGAAGTGTGTGGCTTTGGAGGGTGACAGGACTTTTCCTGCTTTTGGAAAACCTGCTGGGCTCACACAGGTGATCCCACATTTTCTGTGTCCTGCAGCAGAGGGAAAAGCAGCTTTTCTGGGGAAGCTGTGTGTGCCCCATCCCTGGGAGTGTCCCAGGCCAGGATGGAGCAACCTGGCATGGTGGGAGGTGTCCCTGCCAGGAGAAGGGAGCGGGACTGGAGCTGGGGCATCCCAAAGGTGCCTTGCAGCTCCAGCCATGCTGGGCTCTGCTGGAATGTGCTCCTGGCAGAGCATCCAGCAGCCCTGGCCCCCTGCCAGCTGTTTGGCATCAGGCAGCTTTGGCAGAGGAGCAGTCCCTGCTGCTGGAGCAGGTGGGAGCCCCTCTGCACACAGGGTGCACACAGGGCACGGGGCTGCAGCAGTGGGTAGGGATGGAACACCTGGGTGAGCTGCTGGCAGGGGAGGAGGTGGTGCTGAAAGGCAGGGGGGGACACAGGGAGGGAGCTCTGGCTGTTCCCCAGCACAAAGCAGCAGGTCAGGAGTTTCCATGGAGTTTTCCATGGGGTTTTCTCTGACCTGTGGTGCCTGTGTCCCTGCCAGGTGCAGCCTCTGTTCCCAGCACCGACGCCGTGTCCCATCCTGCAGAGAGAGCTGGGGCTGGCCCTGCTGGAGACGCCAAACCTCCCCAGAGCCCTGCAGCAGCAGCAGCAGCAGGCAGCCCTCTCCAGGCCACAGATGGGGGCTTTGCTCCTGCACCTGAAGCCAGCCCTGCCAAGGGTGTCAATGACGTGTCCACCCCGGGGACAGAGCTCGGCTTCGCCCCGGCAGCTGGATCCCACCATGGGGTGGATTTGGGGTTTGCTCCAGCAGCAGGTGTAGAGTCCCACCAAGCCATGGATTTGGGATTTGCCCCAGCAGCTGTGGAGTCCCACCAAGCCATGGATTTGGGATTTGCCCCAGCAGCAGGTATGGAGTCCCACCAAGCCATGGATTTGGGGTTTGCCCCAGCAGCAGATGTGGAGTCCCATCAGAACATGGATTTGGGGTTTGCTCCAGCAGCAGGTGTGGAATCTCACCAGAACGTGGATTTGGGATTTGCTCCAGCAGCAGGTGTGGAATCTCACCAGAACATGGATTTGGGATTTGCCCCAGCAGCAGGTGTGGAATCTCACCAGAACATGGATTTGGGATTTGCTCCAGCAGCAGATGTGGAGTCCCACCAGACCATGGATTTGGGGTTTGCCCCGGCAGCAGACACAGAACCTCACCATACCTTGGATTTGGGATTTGCTGCAGCAGCAGATAACAAAGCTCAGCACGATCTGGGCTCTGAGTTTGCCCCGGCAGCAGAAGTCAACCATCACCATGGCCTGGATTCTGGGTTTGCTCCTGCAGCTCCAGCCAAGCCTGTCCCTGCTGTGGATGGTGGGAACGTGGCAGCTCAGCCCAGCAGTGCTGTGTCTGGGGAGCTGCTGACATCTGAGGCTGCCCTTGAGCAGGACAAGGCTCCTGCAGGTGAGTGTGCCCAAATCCCAGAGTCCCAGCCATGGGTAATTCAGCTTGGAAAAGCCTCTGAGGTCAGGGAGCCCAGCCTTGGTTGGCTTTGGGTGAAGCGCCTTGAGGAGAGCTCAGCTCTGCTCTCAGCAGACACAGAAAATGCATCACAGGGATTCTTCACTTACCAAACATAAAACCAGAGGTTTTTTGTGATTTTTAAATTGTCATTTGCCATTCTGAGCAGTGCTGAGTGGTCTGAGGACAGCCATGGAGAGGTGCTGGCTCTGTGTCACCACCACCCTCAGCTCTCCCTGGAATCTCCCAGGTCCTGTAGGACACAGAGCTGACAAACAGAGGTTCTTGATGACAATTTCTGAAAAGCCTAAAAGGCTTAGTTGATAATTTTGAGACCTTTCCTTGGGATGCCTGTAGGTGCTGAATGCTGGGAAGGGTGTGTTTGGTTCTCCATGTGCAGGTTTGCTGTGCTGTGTGGGTTTCTCCAGGGACACCATCCCTCTGGAGAGAAAACTGCTTTCCAAAATTGGACTTACTGAATATTTATATTACTAAAATGCAGCAAATAGTCCTGGGCAGAGGCAGCATATGTGGATTGGTTGTGGATGGGGTTGGAGTGAGATATTTTTTCTTGCCTTCTAATACTCTTTAGTTTAATGATAAATTTCAAGAGAGAAGTTTTAACAAAAACACCCACTAGAATGCAGAGACTGAGAGGCTCAGGTGGATGAATGAAAGAGGAAATGCAAGACAATGCAGGAAGGTAGAAAGATCCTAAAAGTCAGATTTTGAAAGTGAGGAAACCCTTCAGTTCCTTACACAAGACAAAAAATTAGGCGAGGGAGTGAATTTTATCTAATTTAATCTGATCTATATTTAAACCCAGGAATTTTTACTCTTCACATTCGATTTACAGAAGCAGCAGCAAAGGTGGAGGCGGAATGCAAAGGCCCAGAAGTTTGTGTGGATCACTCAGAGGAGATGAAGGACAGGAAACCTCCGCCGAGCCCTGGGGAGGAGGAAATTGCTGGGAAAAGCAAGCAGCCCCCGGAGGCAGCAGGTGGGAAATGCAGGCAGGGCCAGGCTCCAGGGTGCAGCCCCTGCAGGTTTTCAGTGCCTGCTGACACCGGGCTCAGTCACTGCACTTGTCCTTTCCTTCCCCCTGCACGGCTCTTGTACCAATGCCTGTCATCGTTTCCCTTTCTGTTCAAAATTTAAATAAAATTAATTACAGGGAGAGCTGCTCTCCCTTGTAATTATGCCTTACAAATGAAAACTGGCTGTAATTATGCAGAGTGAGGAATGTTGTGGTGGCTGTGGGGATGTATTGGAAGGTATAGATGAATACAAGATGATCAGCATTAGCCAGGGACTCCAGGCTGATAATGGAGTTCATTCTGGATTTGAATTCCCAGTGGGAAGCTGGGATAGTCTGAACTGGGCTGATTGCAAAGAGGAAGAAACCCAAACAAACCCTCACCCTGTGCTTAAAGCCCTGAAACAGCCCCTGCTTCTGTTCTACCCCCACCTTGGCATGTGCCAAATGTAAAAGTGCTGCTGAAATGGGATTGTGAGGGGATGAACCAAGCATGTGTCATAAACCTCATTCCTGTTAAACACAAAATTAACCCCTTTGCAAGGGCTGGGGTTTAGCTGCAGGCTGCCTGTACTCCTGAGACCTGAAGCTTTATTCCTCTCTTTCATGTTCCAGCTGAAGCAAAAGGAGCACTAGACAATAAAGACCTTCCAGAAAAATCTGCTCCTGCTGAGAATGGTGAGACACAGAAGGAGGAGGCTGAGCACAACCACGTCCAACACGCAGAACCTCAGGAAGGGAAAGCCCTGCAGGAGCCCACAGGTAGGACAGAAATCAAAAAAATAATTCCATTTCCTCATGGAAACCTCCTCTGGGAACTCTTCACTTCTGCTCCTGGCTGTGGGGCCACCTGGGCCAGCAGGAATGTCTTTGTGTGGCTCTCAGTGCTCCTGGTGCTGGGCTCCCCCTTCCCCTCGGATCCCTGCCCTGCCCAAGGCTCTTTCCCTCCCACTCAGGCTGAAAGCCCAAATCCCTGTGCTCTGAGTGCTTTATCACTGGGACTGGCTCACAGCTGTGCTGGGGCAGTGCAGAGCTCCCATCTCTGCCATCAGCACTGGCTTTTATTTTGCTGTTGAAAAGGACTGGGAATTCTCATGAGGATCTTGCAGGGAGGATCTCCTTCCCAAGTGAGCTGTGCAATTGCCAAAGGAAGATGTGATTTTCTCCTGCTCCACTGACCCAGCCTCCAGAGGGGCTGGTGCTGCTCACACTGTGTGGAGGAGGATTTGTGGGCCAGGGCTGAGTGACAAACAGCTGCTGCTCTGCTCACCCTGAGGGATCCCCAGGGACACAGAGGTGACCCTGGCACAGAGGCTCTGCCTCCCCCTGCTTCCTCCCTGGCTGCTGGGGAAACTTGGCTCTCTTGCCCCCATCTCTCTTCCCATCTTCCCACTAAACTTCTGTTTTCCCACTCTGGAAGGATGCCAGCTAGAGATATAAAAAGGCTCTCTGTGATCTTGTCTTGCTGAGACAAAATGGATCCTTAATGCATTTTTAAAAAGCAATGGCATGTCCTTGCAAGAACTGGTGCTTTTTGGTGGGGTAAGAGCCTGTGTCAGACTTGTGTTTAAATGGCACTGGTGGATGGAATTGGGGTAGATCACACAGGTGTTGGGGTAAATACCTACCCCAGCCCTCCTGAGGTGGCTCTGGTGTGGTTCCAGTGGGAAATCCTGCCTGTAGGGCCTGTCTGAGAGGGCTGCAGCCACACAGAGAATATATTTATTATTTCTTTTAGCAAGCAAATAGTGGCCTTGATGTTTGAGCAGGCTTCCTGTATTCCAGGTCTTCCCACTGCACAAGTCAGGCAAGCTCCCAAATCCAGGGACCGTGGGTTTGGCAGAGCAAAGCCTGCCCCAGTGCCTCTCACAGATGTGCCAGAGGAGCATCCTGTAGGTGTCCCACAGCAGAAGAGTCCTGAGCCCAGAGCAGACCCCTGTTCCACAGTGGAGCTTGGCTGTGGTGCTGGAGCATCCCCTCGCTCTAGGGCTCCTCACAAAAAGGCCACCAGTGTCCCCACGGAGCCTGTGGAGAGCTGCAGAGATCCCCCCCAGGAAAACTGGGACTTGGAAGGTGCCATGGTGAAGAAAAAGAAAAAGAAACCAAAACAGAGGAGGAACCAGCTGCCAAGAGGAATGGAGTTCTGGGAGGAGAATGGAACCTGCAGGGGTGCCAGGAGTGCTCCCTGTGGGGTGGAGGGGCAGAAGCCAGCCGTGTGTCCTGCAACAGCCCCTGGAAGCAGAGCTCTGCATGTGCCACAGGATGCTAACACAACACCTGGGAGTCCCATCCTGGAGGAGAAAATCAGCTCCCCTGTGCCAGCCCCAGGGCAGCAGGGCCCCAGACCCAGCGAGCTGGGTGGCAGCCCCAGGGAGGAGATGGAGCCCCAGGGAAGCAGAGCTGCCAGCTGGGTGCTGCCATCCAAGGGCCAGGGCACAGGGATGGGTCACACTGGGGGGCAGGAGTCTGCTGCAGCCAGGGAACCCAGCAAGGCAACAGAGAGAGACCTTCCCAGGAAAAGTGAGAGGAGAGAGGACAAGGAGACAAAGGGTGCCGAGCTGAAGGTCAATCTGAGCACAGCAGGAGCTCCCTCACAGACAAAACCTTTGGAACTGTCCCATAAAAACAAGGAGCCCAAATCCCCATCTCCAGGGCAGGAAGCACCCAGTGACTCTGTCCAGCCTTCCCTGGAAACAGCAGCCAAGAAAAAATGGGAAAAAAGCAAAGGGCTTGAAAGGGAGCCCCTCCAACAGCCTCACCTGGAGGCTGCAGCCCTGGACAAGCTCCCTGCAGAGCCAAAGGCAGCTGCAGAAAGGGGAAGAGGGTCAGAGGGAGCACTGAGGAGCCCCACAGACACTCCTGGAGCTCCTGTTCCTGTTCCACCAGAACGTGGGGAAGTTCCAGCTGGGCAGGGCAGGGCCCAGGGTGTCCCCAGAGCTCCCAGCCCTGGCGAGGCAGGGGGCAGGGGGGTGGCAGCAGATCCAAAGCTGGGCAGAGGGGTCCCTGGTTGTGAGCAGCAGGCTGGGACAGAGCCCAGCCTGGCACACAGCACAGACAGGCCAAAGAAAAAGCGCAGTGAGGGCAGAGGCAAAAGAATGAAAAGCTGCTCAGAGCAGGTGATGCTCTCAGAGGATGGAGGCAAACCCAGCGATGGAGCGAGCACAGATGAGGCTGGGAAGGAAGCAGTTTATCCTGAGAATGGCCAGGCTGTTCCTGCCAGAGGACAGCCCTCAGGCAGTGCTGCACAGGCCTGCCCTGCAGACAAGCCCAAAAAAAGAGGCAGCGACGGAAGGAGCAAAAAGGGGGAAAGGAGCTTTTCCCAGCAGCCTTTCCTTGAGAATAAGATGGACTCAGGGGGTTTTCCTGAGGGAGCTGATAAGGTGAAGGAGGGCAGTGATAAGGGCAGAGAGCAGGGCTGTGTCCCTGCTGGGGGCTTGCAGGAAAATGCAGCTAAAATGCAAAGGCCAATTGAGCTGGGACCGGAGAAACCAAAAGAAAATGTTGGGCAAGGTGGCACAGCTGATTTGGGAGCTTCAGACCAAGCTTTGCTGCTGGAGAAGAGCAGGGAGGAAGCCAAAACTCCTGCTCTGGCTGCCACCACCAGCCCCACAGAGCAGGTGGGTTTGGCTGGGAAAGGCAGAGAGGCCGGAGCTGCCGGGCTCAGCTCGGATGTGCCAGTGCTGGCAGAGAAAGCCAGGAAGAGGAGCAGCGATGGGAGAAGGAAAGAGGCTGAGAAAAGCCCCTCGGGGCAGGCAGCTGCCCTGGGGGCTGGGGGGGAAGGCAGGCAGGAGCAGGTGGCTGCAGGCAGGAAGGAAATGAGCCTGCCTGGGGAGAAGGGGGCTGCTCTGCACAGGGAGAGGCTGGAGGAGGAGCTGGGCAAGCCCAGAATGCAGGGTGGCACTGGGAGCTTCTCTGAGCAGCCAAATCTTTCAGGCCGTAAAACAGAGACTTCAGAGCCAGAAATAGGGAAAGGAAACTTGGAAACTTGGCCTGTGAATAAAGGCAAGGAAGCAGATAAATCCCCAGGGCACAGGGCAGGGATGCACAGTCCCAGCAGGGAACTGGGCATGGACAAGGCCAAGGGTAAAAGCAGAGATGGGAAAGGCAAAAAGGCTGAGCACAGTCCTGAGCTGCAGCCAGGTGTCTTCCCTGCAGTGGGGCACGTTCAGCAAGCTCAGTCTGAGGAGGGCAAAGAGAATTCCAGGAGTGCAGAGGGGCTGCTGGGTCACCTGCCTGACCCTGCCAAGGCACAGGCCCCTGCTCTGCCCCTGGAGCCAGGGAAGTCACACACAGGTGGGGAGGAGAAGCACAGAAAGGGGCAGCCTGACCCACAGCAGCCCTTTTTGCTGGAGCATAAAGCAGGAGCAGGGATGTTCCCTCCTGCTGGCCTGGAGATCAGGGACAAACCTGAGGCAGGAGGTGCCAGTCCTTGCAGCAGGAAGAAAAATCCTATTCCAGAGCATCCAGCAGTGTCAGATCCCAGCCTGGCCCCAGTCACTGAGAGATCTAAAAAGAGGGGCTATGATGGAAGCAGTAAAAAGGCTAAAAATGCCTCCAGGCAGCCTGTTCCCCTGGAGGCAGAACCAGACAGGAGTGAGGCACAGCCTGCAGTGGGAGCTGGGCTGGAATGTGGGGTGGGAGACACAGATCTTGTAGATGAAAACAGAAACATCAAACACTTTCCCACTGGCCCTCAAAGAGTTGGGAATAATAAAGGAAGGGACTTCAAATCTGTGTCTCAGAGCCCAGCAAGTGGCCCTGGGGATGGGGGTGATGCTCCCTGTGGCCTCCCAAAGCAGGGAGAGGGGGCTGCAGGGACTGGGGGCCTTCCTCCTCCTCCTCCTCCTCCTCCTCTGGAAGCAGAGAAAAGCAGCAAAGAGCCTGGAGCTGGTGCT